CTCATGAAATCCAAGCTGCCTGATTTGACTTTATGCCTGCTTCATTTCTCTAATATTCCTTTTATCTTAAGTATGTCCTCTAAACTTCATTAACATCAAAAAGATTTTGTTAAGTACTTTAACGGAACATGGCACTGTACAAAGAGGCTTATAAGAACCAGATTCTTGTTATTTAGCAAGTTCAAATCACAGACTTAAGACAGAAATATTTATAGGACTCACACGCTTTATGCAAATACAGGCCATTCCTTGATTTACTTTGTATGATTCATAACAGCTAATACTTCCTGAGTCCTAACTATGTCCCAGGCATTGTGTGAAAAGCACTTTCCTTAATCTTCTCCATGAAGTCCCCTAACAACAATGAGGAAGGGGAGACACTGGCAAGTTACATAAACCTTCCTTAGTTAGTTATTAGTCACTCAGTCATGTCTGACTCTTTGCAACCCTATGGACTGTAACCCCCAGGCTTCCCTGTCCATGGAATTCTCCAGGCAAGGATCTAACCCAGGTCTCCTGCATTGGGAAGGTCCTTAGGAAGGTCATCTAGCTGTGACACCAATCCAGGTCGGACTCCGAGGCCAGACCGGTTCTTTAACCACTCTGACCTACTCCTGCGCTTTGGGGTTATAACCTCCTCTCCCACAAACCTATCGCCTACTAACAGCCAACTACGCTCACTCGGCTTTCATAGCAGCTGCTGCCTGCAGCGGGGCACGGATTGTGGTAGGCATGGTGTGGAGACCGACCTTCCTTAAAAAGTGAAATTCTTGGGTAGCCAGATAGCATTGGATTAAGTGCTGTTAAAAATAGGGCAATCTTTGACTTCCCTTGCGATCCAGTGGTTAAGACTCTGTGATTCTAATGCAGAGGATGTGGATTTGATCCTTGGTCAGGGAACTAAGATCCCACATGCCTGCCACATGGTGCGGCCAAAAAAAAAAAAAAAAAAAAGAACAGGGCAGCCCTGACAACACAGAATTATCAATCAGACGCAATTCTACTCTAAAAATAAAATCTGGACAGTTGGGACTCCAGACTGTTTCAAAGAGCTCTTCATTTAACCTGTAGGGAAAACTTAATGAGAGTGTTTCTGCTCCCTGGCTCCCCTGCAAGCTTCTGTCCTCACTCATCCCCTATTTCCCCTCACCCTCCAGTTAGAAAACACTAGATCGTTGCCTCTACTGCCTCATTAGCCATCAGGGCTCCAGCCTCTGCCATCTGACTTCTGCCTCCACCCTCCTGCTGGAAGCGCTCTCCCAAATGTCAGCAATGATAACAGACCATCATTATAATAATACCCAGTGGTTCCTGTGGCTTAACTGGGCTCCAAACCCCATGTTTGGAGCTTTCTTTACACTGGAAAAACCAGGAGAACCTCACGGCTGTACTGGACTTACAGACGGTTTTGGCTTGGTTGGCTCGATTTTTAAAAATCAAGTCAGTATTCAAAGATCAGAATATCTTAGACAAAAGTCTGTATTTTGAGCAATGCTGTCCAGTTTGCTACAGTCCTCATGGTGAATATATGTACACTTGGATCTATCCCACCGCTCTTATTTATGTCACCTGCCTGACTCCCTATATGAGCAGTATTTACTCTCCGTGTCCTATGTGGATAATCTGGTCGGGACTGTGTAGGTGCCAGGAAAAGAGATATTATACCCCTTAAACTTACAGAATGTTATATGTCAATAAAACTAAGGAAAAAACCCACATTCGCCAGATGGTCTATCATGACTTGTAAAAACCATCAAGTCCTAGACAAGGCAGGACCACCTTCTGCGATGTCCAATGGCCCACTCCATTTTCTGAGCTGTCGTTAAGTTTCAGCCACCTGCCCTATTTGCAGACCTGCCTTGTCAGATCGGCACTGAATGCTCTCTGTGCTATGATACCCTGGGGCTGATCCTGGACACTTAAATTATACCCCAGGCTGCTTTTTACTCTCTCTGTCACTCTCTGGGTCTCAGCTCCATCCTGGCTGCTGGGGGTAGCTGGACTGCTGACACTTTATCCTGCATACAATCTCTGGAGACAACCTTCTTCACCGAGGGTGTTCAAAAACAGAGCGAGCTCTGACCAGAGTAATCTTCTCAAAGTATAGTTCTGATTGGATCCTTCTCTTCCTCAGAATGCTTACAAATTAAGTACAAACTTCTCAGTTAAGGCAGATAGGGTTGTAAAAACAGAACCCTACTTGGGATGACTCAGGTCAGATTTATGACATGGATACAGGAATATTACACAGGCCTCCAGAGCAAAGATCAGGAACAGGCTGAACCATAAACAGAGACTGGCAAACTTTCTCTGTAAAGGACGACAGAATAAACATACTAGGTTTTGCAAGTTATCTGGTTTCTGACACTCTGCCAGAGACAATAGGAAAAGTAGTGTGTTCTAATAAAACTTTATTTACAAAATAGACAACCAGCTGGATTTGACACAGAGGCCAGAGTTTTAGGGTCCCTGGGCTCAAGCATTATCAGAACTCACTGAAACATCTCTGTCATCCTCCACACACCTACTTTGTTGTTCTTTTCCTACCAACTACCATCCTTAGCATCTCTGGCTCTCATGTTGGAAAATGGCTTCTAAAAGCACTGAGCTTCCAGGTCACAAAACACTTCCAGGTCAAGTGTTCTCACTCTTTCTTAATCCTCATTCTAAATTCTTCGGGCAGAGATGTGGCCAGGCCTTTGAGTCAGATACTTACCCTGAGACTAATCAGCTGTGGCCAGGAGTTTGGGTCTTGCTTTATGAACCAGGAGGGTGTTGGGAACCCCACCCCCAAAATCTCTTCGATCAAAGCAGAAGAACAGATTCCAGAAAAGGGCAAGGAGTTGGGCAGACAAGTCAGTGAGAGTCCCTGTCTGCATTCATCCAAAGCTGTATTTTCAGCATTGTCCCCTATTAGAACCCTGATGTTCCTTCTTGAAGTAAAACGAACCCCTTGCTGTTCCAGTGGACCCTGCATATTCCATCCTGCCTGTGTGAACTCAGCCGCCTCCCACTCTCTGTGACCTCATAGACTGCAGCTGGCCAGGCTCCCCAGTCCACAGGATTTTCCAAGCAAGAAAATACTAGAGGGAGTTGCCATTTCCTTCTCCAATATTCCATCCTGTATCCCTTCCATCTGCTAGCAGAAATTCTACTCATCTTTAAAGACTCTTCTAGAAGGCCGTCTTTTGCCCTCTTTTTTTTTTTTATATCCACACAACTCTATTGGTATAGTGTGTCTTGTCTCATTGCTATTTCTGTATCTGACTTTTTTGTTTTGCAGTCAATAGATGCTCTGCTGACTGAGGAAAGGACTTATTCAGCATTTCATGCACTCTGGTACCTGTCAGAGCACAGGCTTGGAGTTCTCATTTGTTGAGTTTAACCATATCCTCAAAGCTGAATAATTGCAAACGGAAGAAATTTAGACTTTATGAAGTTGCATCGATACAGGAAATATGGTATCTACCTTGAAGAAAATTATGTTTCAAGATATAAACATTCATTTCCACATTTAGGGTAGCCAAATTAAAGTACATGTGCAGAGAAAGATTATTTACAGCCAGGAAAATGTATATTTAAAATTGTCTAATAGTAAGAAGAAATAAAGTCACATTAAAATTGTCTTTTCCGTTACTGTACTAAATAGAAAACGGTATACTACAGACATGACTTCTGATAAATAGGGAGGGTTATACACGTGAAGTAATCAAAATCGCTCTAAAAAACAAATACTCCAAAACCATTAATGTTTATGAAAGAATTTTACCAAAGAGCCAGAGGCTTCATCATCTTATCTCTTTCTTCCTAGAACTATTAATTAACATTGTTCCCAGAACTCTGCTAAAACTCCCCTGCTGAAAGGAAGACAGTAAATACAGGACTGCAGAGAAAACTGGTTCATTCTTCAGGAACTGTGAGAGGCTTGCGCTTTTGTGAAACAGAACACACTTGCTGAAGAACTCATTTCTAAACTTAAAAACTACCTTAAATCTTTTTTATTTTAACAGCATCCTCCTGGGAGACTGCGCTGGAATGTGCAGCAGGTCTGAAAACGGCACAGATTTGGCTCAAATCTGTAAATACTAGGTGCACAGAGCCGGAGCCATTGTGTAGGGAAGCCGGGTGGGGCGGGCGGGGTCCTGATTCACGATGTTGATTAGTAGGATTCTAATTTCGCTTGGGGCTTATTATTTTTTTTTTCCTACGACAATTACAGCTTCGCTAGAAAAATAAAATATCGGTTGTGCTCTCACCTGGGTTTCTAATTTTCAGCGTCTACCGAAAAAGAAAACCTCGTTATTTATTCCCCTAGAATTACCCTTCTGCAATCTGCTGAGCCGCTGGGAAAACAGGAGCGCACAGCCCCACCGCGCCCCCCGACCCCGTCCCCACCGCGGCCACCTCCCAGCCGCCCAGTCCACCCCACGCGCGACCCGGAGACGATGGGTCTCCGAGGCATCACTGTTGTCTGTTGACGTTTCTAGGTGTGGGGAATGCTCCAAACCAGTAAACCACTACACACAGAACCCCAGCTCGGACACCGAACCAAGCTATCCTCGCTAGTTTTCCTTTCTCCCCGGCCTCCGCCCGCCAGGATCCTTGCCACCCCTCGCACAGTGTCTCCCGGCGGCCTCGGGTGGCCCTCCCGGCACCTGCGCGCGCCCGGGACGCAGGCTCAGGGATGAGGCGGCGGGAAGGAGCCCGGCGACGGCCACTCTGGGGAGCGGCCCGGACTACAACTCCCATCACGCCCCGCAGCCGGCTCCCTCCCCGGCCCGGCCCCGCCTCCCTACCTCGGCCGGCGGTCGGGCAGAGCCGAGCTTTTATCTGCAGACCGGTCGGCCGGGCGGGCTCCCGGTCCCTGCAGTCTCCCCAGACGCGAGAGCTGTGCAGGGCAGCGAGGAAGGCGGCGGCTCCTAGGCGACTTCTGCCTCCGCGTCCCCGCCAGCCCGGAGCCCTCGGGGGGCGCAGAAGGTCCGTCCCGACCCGGCGAGAGGATGGTCATCCGCGTGTTCCTCGCCTCCTCCTCGGGCTTCGTGGCGGTGAGCACGTAGGGGACCGGCCGCGGGCCGGGGTCGGGTCCCTCGGGGCAAGGGGGTGCGGGTCCCGCGGGCGGCGGGCGGCGCTCGCCCCTGTGCGTCTCGGCGCGGCGGGCGGCGGGAGCCCGCGCCCGGCAGGTGATCCACCTCCCTCGGACGACAATGAACGGGGCGGGGAGCCAGGGTGGGTGTGTGTTGGGGTCGGGGGACCCCGGACTCACCCCACATGCCTACCCTGCACGGTCCGAGAGGGAGACCGGGAAGTGGATTCGGCGGGAAGCCCCCGGCTCTCGTCGGGAGGCTCGTGGGTTTTGGAGAGGGGTGGTCAGAGAGCTTCGGCGGGGGGGGGTCGGGGTCCCACTTTCCTTGATGGGCTTGACCGATTTGGGACATTCAGCCTGGTTCCGTTTGGTACGGGAGCTTGTTAAGCTGCTTGGTTTGCTCACATAGCTCCTGAATGGAACAAGTTTAAGTGGAACTTGCTCTCCACCCTCTGTGCCCCGCCGCCAAGCACGTTACTTCAGCTTTATACCTGCGCGGAGAGAATGGTAAACCAGGTTTGTCCTGCTGTGCCAGGGCTTTTTTCTTTCTCGCCTAAGATGCTATAAATATGTTTGCATTTATATGTAAATATGGTGTGACTGGTTCATTTTCCCCTATAATGCTGCGCTCAATTTCATCTTGGGGGTGTCAGTTGTGGTCTCTTCAATTATTTTAAGCTATTTTGTTTGGTCCGATGTTCTCGAATTTTCTTTCTTTTTTTTTAGGGAGAAGTTACATAGCTAGATGTCAGACTTTAAGGAAAAATTCAGTAATAATAGCTCACTGAGTAAGACATCTAGCAGTATGTTTTCCATGATTATTAAGATTTGGTTACCTTTAGCTGCGTTAAGCTGTAGATTTCAGGGGCTCTCTAGTGAGATATAGAGTTAAATACATCAAAAAGTGCGGTATTGATTGTTTCAAATTTAGTCCGGCCAGTTGGTTGCCTGCCCGGAGAGTCAACTAGGTTTTCCCCAAATTTGTTTCAGAAGGCAGGTTCGATGGAGAATCGAAGAAAATGTCATTTGCAACATAACACTGAAGTTTTTTATTTTAAAAAGAATTAACTTGTGGTAGAAAAAAAGGCCCCCTTTTGTATTAGTAACAGGAGATGGGAAACTCCAGCTTATCTTTATATGCAGAGATGTTCCGGTCCCCAGACTCCTGATAGTTTTGGTGTTGCTTGCTCTCTGGGGCTGCTTAGTCATACCTGCCTTTTATAGATCCCTCCACTGCTTCACCGAAGCTACACTTCATGTGTTTGGAAACCCATAGAGTTTCGTGGGTAGATTTTTTTCACAGTCACTCCTTCATAAGAGTACTACAAAGCTTTTGGTTTCACCATCAACTTGCATGCTCCCATACTTACTGCAATAGTATTTCATTGACTTTATAGTATTGATATTAAGAAGCCGATATTATCTATGTTGGACAAGTCAGAGTCAAAATTCTGAGGTCATTACTTGGCTTATCCTTCAGTAGGTAGTATATCAAGAGAGTTTTGGAACCCTGCATCTCTATTTGCTTATTTCCATTAACAGATATTTATTGCCTGTCTGCTATGTACCTTTTTAATTTTTAAATTTAATGATGGGTGTTTTGCACATGAAGCTAGACCTGAGAGAACCCAGGCAGGCTCTGATGAGCAGAGTGAGCTTGGTTGAAGTACCTCATCTCTGCCTGAGTTTCTCATTGATAGAATGAAGAGCTGTGATAAAAAACTCAGCATTCCACTCTAGCTTTAAAGTGCTTTGATTTAATTAGTTGGATAAATGCGGATAAATCCTCATAACAGCTTCTTTCACATTGACAATATACATGCTAGTATCAAAGTGAATTTTTTTCCCTTTGGTGTTTTACTGGGATCCCCTCACTGCCCCACCCAGTTTGTGTTCTAACAGATAAGGTTTGAGCTGGAAGACATACTCTGTTATCACGTACCATATGTGCAGCCTGTGAACACTAATTATCTATTTTAATGTACCTGATCTTTTTGGGTCTCAGACAATCCTCAGTCACTGAATCTCTCCACTTGTAATATTATCTCCTCTATCCCTGCACAGTTTTTCTGTAATTAATATACCATCGATACTTTTGGTAATGTTTCTGCTTATATGCAAGAATAGTGATTTCTAAGAGATAATGAGGTTGTTTAGGTCAGCTGCTGAGCAGTAGAGGCTCCCTGGGGCTTATGGCATTATGCTGTATTGAGCTGGGAGGGCATAGCAGGGTTTTCCCTCCAGCAGTGTTGAACTGACCATTACTCTGTTTTATCCAGTGGCCAACCATGACCAGCAAGTGCATGGGAGAAAGAATAGTTTGATTCCTAAGTCAGTTTGGTTTTAGCTGAAGTTGATTAAACCACACGGAAGTAATGTGACTGAATGTAGACTTGGCTAAGTAAGTCCCAGGAGTTTCCAAAAAGATGCTCTGCCCCAGTCCACAATAGATTTAAATAAACTGTTTAGGGAAAACCCTCATATCTTGTTCTGATCTCCCTGAGCTCTCCAGCTTCAACACCTAACAGTGGTAATTGGAATAATTAACACCAAAAGGTGATTGACCTTTTCTCTTCCTCAGCTCAATGTAAAATCTGCTTTTATAGGAAATAAAAGCAATGCCGCATTATTATGCTGTGGCTACCTGAAAAATCAGATTTCTTATCCAGCTGTCATTCATATCGCAGTGAAGGGCACTTTATTTCAGTCCTAAGAAAATACCGTAGAAGTGCTGTTTTAAGACGTCTTGATTTATTTTGGTTGTATACCCAGCAGGGGTGATCTTGGTAAGTTTATCCAGGAAATGTATTATTAATATGACATTTTAAAAAACTTTATTTTGTATTGGAGTATGCACAATTAACAGTGCTGTGCTAGTTTCCTATAGTTTTCACACAAAAACTATGGATGGCAAAGTGGACGGCAAAGGGACTCAGCCATACATATACATGTGTCTTTTACTGAAAAACATTGAAATCAGCCAGTTATTTCATATTCATTATTTTATTCATTCAGCAAGCATTTTCTAAGTGTCTGCTGCTTGCCCAGCTCTGTAAGGACAAGAATTGCCTGGGCTAGGAAATTCTTTTGGGAATTGGAGGAGAGCAGAGGGTGTGGTTTCTATGTCCTCAAAGAATTCAGGTGGGGATCACGCCCGGGAGATAAGATAGGAAAGGTGAAACCACCAGTAATAAAGTACAACCCAAGGACACAGGCCTCTTTCGGGAACATTCTTAACAGAGATGGAAATAATATAGGCGGCAGAGGGATGCATTGCAGGATGTCAGATAAGGAGGAGATGTGCCAGAAGCCATCAAATATGCATGTGGGAGCCTCAGGCAGAAGGCGGAGAGAGGAACTGACTTGGATTTGGAACGGAGGGGAGAGTGCCTAAGCCCACCTTGTTCAGACTGGAGAGGGGGAGCCTTAGATGGGAGGGGGCAGGCTGCAGGGCTCCCTGTGGACCTCTCTTGAGGACAGGGCAGACTCCGAGTCCGTGAAGTGTTAGTCGCTCGGTCCTGTCTGACTTTGTGACCCCATGGACTGTAGCCCACCAGGCTCCTCTGTCCATGGGATTCTCCAGACAAGAGTACTGGAGTGGGTAACCATTCCTTTCTCCAGGGGATCTTCCTGCCCTGGGATCGAACCTGGGTCTCGTGCATTGCAGGCAGATTCTTTATGCCTAAGCCACCAGGGAAGCCCATGATAACAACGTCCAGAGTGCTTAGCTTCTCAGAGGTGTCTTCAAAATCTGCAGCTGATGTCTGGACCCTTTGTCCCCAGGGAGGAAGGTGTGATCTGATGGGGAAGGACCCCGGGATATGATTTCAGGCTCTTTACCTTCCTGCCTGTCTTGACTGATATTTCTCTAAAAGGAGGGAAAGCTTTTCACTCTTTGTTAAAGTCCTTGGGCTCCAGTGTTGGGGCTGGCAGAATACCGAGAGATTTTCTCATGAAGTCCAATCGCCTCATGTCACAGAGAAGGAATATGGGCTGAGAGAATAAGTGACCTGTTCTGAGGTCATTTGTGTCAGTCAGAGCCGAGCTGAGGGTTAAATGAGCCCCGGTCACCTGACTCCTGAATGTGTGTGTGGGCCCGGAGTGTATTCGTGCCTTGATGGACTCATTCATATGTTAATCACTGAAAACCAACTGAGTTCCAGGCTCTGTCGACAAAGCTCTGTATAGTTTTTCCAGTAGTCAGGTATGGATGTGAGAGTTGGACCGCAAAGAAGGCTGAGTGCTAAAGAATTGATGCTTTTGAAATGTGGTGTTGGAGAAGACTCTTGAGTGTCCCTTGGACTGCAAGGAGATCAAATCGGTCAATTTTAAGGGAAATCAACCCTGAATATTCATTGGAAGGACTGATGCTGAAGCTCCAATACTTTGGCCACTGATGCAAAGAGCCGACTCGTTGGAAAAGACCCTGATGCTGGGAAAGATTGAAGGCAGAAGGAGAAGGGACGACAGAGGATGAGATGGTTGGATGGCATCACCAACTTGATGGACATGAGTTTGAGCAAACTCTGGGAGATGGTGAAGGACAGGAAAGCCTGGCGTGCTGCAGTCCATGGGGTTGCAGAGTCAGACACAACTGAGCGACTGAACAACAACCAGGCTCTGTGAGGTGCTGTTGTGTGCTAGGTGTATACCATGGTCAGGAGAACACAGACTGCCTAACGGCATAAATCAGTGCTGACGCCCCACCGCTCGGAGACTTGGACTTTAAACCATTTCTCCAAGGAGAACACAGAGCTGATGCTGGCCTGGGGGATGTTTCCATGGGACAAGGTGAAATGAGCCTGACAGCAGTAGTATATCGCTGGATGTTGGACGGGACAGTCAGTGGGAGGAAAAGGTACAGAGAAATGGGAAGCAGAGTTGGAAGACGTGGACCTTTGCCCACAGCTGCAGCGCTGTTTTCAAGTGAGGGTGGGAGTGGAGGGGAAACGTAGGAACTGT